CCGCCCGCGACCCACCCGCGACCAACCCGCGACCCACCCGCGACCATCCCGCGACCCACCTCGCTACCCACCCCGCGACATGCATGCCACCTCGCCACCCACCTCGCTACCCACCATGCATGCAGGTATGTATGTATGTATACATATAACGGCGCACCGGGTCCGGGGGCCCGGGGCCGGGACCTTGACCGCAAATGTGCACCCCGGGGGGCCCGGAGGCTCGTCGGGGCTTGCCGGAGGCCTCCCGCGTCACTGCCGACGGCCCACCTAGGAGCAATATCGGCGCACCCAGAAATCTTTCCAGAGGCCTCCAGAGGGCTCCGAGATGCTGAAAGATGGCCGCCGACTTCCAAGTACGCCCCCAAGAGGCCCCAAGAAGCCCTCCCCCCCCCCCCCCCCAAAACAAAAAATGTGGGGTCCAAGAGGGCCCCTAGACGCAAAAGTTGGCCCATTCCTTTCGTAAAACGTACATTTTTCAACAAAGTTGCTTTTTGGGCTTTCCGACGTTACAGGACGGCCCACGAGGCGCCCAAGACCGCCCCAAGACGGCCCAAGTAGCCCCCAGGACAGCCCAAGAGGGCCCCAAGACGGCCCAAGAGGCGCCCAAGATGGCCCAAGAGGGCCCCAAGACGGGCCCAAGAGGGGGCCCAGAGGGGGACCACGAACCGCAAGCTCGAGCTTTCCGCCCCAAGAGGCCGCCAGGAGGCCCCCAGGAGGCCCCTCAAGAGGCCCCAGGAGACCCCAGACGTCCAAGGACGCCCCCAAGAGGCCCCAAGAAGCCTCCAACATGCGTCCCAAGAGGGCCCCTAGACGCAACAATTTGCCCATTCCCTTCGTAAAACGTGCATTTTCAACAAAGTTGTCTTTTGGGCTTTCCGACGTTACAGGACGGCCCAAGAGGCGCCCAAGACCGCCCCAAGACGGCCCAAGAAGCTTCCCAGAGGGCCCCAGGACAGCCCAATAGGGCCCCAAAACGGCCCAAGAGGCGCCCAAGATGGCCCAAGAGGGCCCCAAGACGGGCCCAAGAGGGGGCCCAGAGGGGGACCACGAACCGCAAGTTCGAGCCTTCCGCCCCAAGTGGCGCCAGGAGGCCCCCAGGAGGCCCCTCAAGAGCCCCAGTAGCCCCCCAGCTCCAATGCCCCCCAAAGATGCCCCAAGAAGCCCCAACATTCTGTCCCAAAACCAAACACCGCGCACCCTAGACGCAAAAGTTGGCCCCTTCCCTTCGTAACGACTTTTCAACATTTGTCTTTTGGGCCTTTCCAGACGTTCAGTACGACGCCAGAGGCGCCCAACCGCCCCAAACGGCCAAGAAGCTACCGAGAGTGCCCCAGGGACAGCCCCAATAGTGTCCCCAAGATCGGCCCAGAGGCGCCTCCGGATTATCCAATAGGGCCCCCAAGACGGGCCCAAGAGGGGGCCCAGGAGGGTTGACCACTAACTGCAGGCTCGAGCTTCCGCCCTAAGAGGCGACCCATGCGCCCCCAATGGGGGGGCCCATCAAGAGGGCCCCGGAAAAAAAAAAAAAAAAAAAGACCCCAGACGTCCAAGGACGCCCCCAAGCCGCCCCAAGAAGCCTCCAACATGCGTCCCAAGAGGGCCCCTAGACGCAAAAATTGGCCCATTCCCTTCGTAAAACGTACATTTTTCACAAAGTTGTCTTTTGTGCTTTTCCTCGCCAAGTGGCCCAAGCGGGCCCGCCCACGGGCCCAAAAGAGGGGCCCAGAGGGAACCAACTAACCGCAGCTCGAGCCTTCCGCCCCAAGAGGCCGCCAGGGAGGCCCACCCGTAGGCCCCTCAGCAGGCCCCAGTAGATCCCAGCCTGTCCAAGGACCCCCCACGAACGCTTCGCGTCAGCCACTGTTCTTCCTCACAACGATCCTGGGTCCTGTGACTCGAACAAACCTAATCAGCGCGCGAAGCGCGCGCGTATTACTACTATCATATAACGGCGCACTGTCGCGATGTTCCGGTCCCCGGGGGCCCGGTGCCGGGACCTTCGACTCAAATGTGCACCCCGGGGGGCCCGGAGGCTCGTCGGGGCTTGCCGGAGGCCTCCCCAGTCAGACAAGACGGCCCAAGAATCGCCCAAGACGGCCCAAGAAACTTCCAAGAGGCCTCCAAGAGGGCTCCGAGATGCTGAAGATGGCCTCCAGACGTCCAAGGACGCCCCCAAGAGGCCCCAAGAAGCCTCCAACATGCGTCCCAAGACGGCCCCTAGACGCAAAAATTGGCCCATTCCTTTCGTAAAACGTACATTTTCAACAAAGTTGTCTTTTGGGCTTTCCGACGTTGCAGGACGGGCCCAAGGAGGCGCCCAGACCGCCCCAAGACGGCCCAAGAAGGCTTTCCCAGGGGCCCCAGTACCGCCCACGAGGGATCCCAATGACGGCCCAAGAGGCGCGAAAGGGGCCAAATGGCCACCAGACGGGCACCAGGGGGGCCCAGAGTGGACCACGACCGCAATCTCGGCCTTCGCCCCAAATATTCCTCCAGGAGGCCCCTCAAGAGGCCCCAGGAGACCCCAGACGTCCAGGACGCCCCCAAGAGGCCCCAAGAAGCCTCCAACATGCGTCCCAAGAGGGCCCCTAGACGCAAAAATTGGCCCATTCCCTTCGTAAAACGTACATTTTTAACAAAGTCGCCTTTTGGGCTTTCCGACGTTACAGGACGGCCCAAGAGGCGCCCAAGACCGCCCCAAAACCGCCCAAGAAGTTTCCCAGAGGGCCCCAGGACAGCCCAAGAGGGCCCCAAGACGGCCCAAGAGGCGCCCAAGATGGCCCAAGAGGGCCCCAAGACGGGCCCAGAGGGGGCCCAGAGGGGGACCACGAACCGCAAGCTCGAGCCTTCCGCCCCAAGAGGCCGCCAGGAGGCCCCCAGGAGGCACCTCAAGAGGCCCCAGGAGACCCCAGACGTCCAAGGACGCCCCCAAGAGGCCCCAAGAAGCCTCCAACATGCGTCCCAAGAGGGCCCCTAGACGCAAAAATTGGCCCATTCCCTTCGTAAAACGTACATGTTTCAACAAAGTTGCTTTTTGGGCTTTCCGACGTTACAGGACGGCCCAAGAGGCGCCCAAGACCGCCCCAAGACGGCCCAAGAAGCTTCCCAGAGGGCCCCAGGACAGCCCAAGAGGGCCCCAAGACGGCCCAAGAGGCGCCCAAGATGGCCCAAGAGGGCCCCAAGACGGGCCCAAGAGGGGGCCCAGAGGGGACCACGAACCGCAAGCTCGAGCCTTCCGCCCCAAGAGGCCGCCAGGAGGCCCCCAGGAGGCCCTTCAAGAGGCCCCAGGAGACCCCAGACGTCCAAGGACGCCCCTAAGAGGCTCCAAGAAGCCTCCAACATGCGTCCCAAGAGGGCCCCTAGACGCAAGAATTGGCCCATTCCCTTCGTAAAACGTACATTTTTGACAAAGTCGCCTTTTGGGCTTTCCGACGTTACAGGACGGGCCAAGAGGCGCCCAAGACCGCCCCAAGACCGCCCAAGAAGTTTCCCAGAGGGCCCCAGGACAGCCCAAGAGGGCCCCAAGACGGCCCAAGAGGCGCCCAAGATGGCCCAAGAGGGCCCCAAGACGGGCCCAAGAGGGGGCCCAGAGGGGTACCACGAACCGCAAGCTCGAGCCTTCCGCCCCAAGAGGCCGCCAGGAGGCCCCCAGGAGGTCCCTCAAGAGGCCCCAGGAGACCCCAGACGTCCAAGGACGCCCCCAAGACGCCCCAAGAAGCCTCCAACATGCGTCCCAAGAGGGCCCCTAGACGCAAAAGTTGGCCCATTCCCTTCGTAAACGTACATGTTCAACAAAGTTGCCTTTTGGGCTTTCCGACGTTACAGGACGGCCCAAGAGGCGCCCAAGACCGCCCCAAGACGGCCCAAGAAGCTTCCAAGAGGGCCCCAGGACAGCCCAAGAGGGCCCCAAGACGGCCCAAGAGGCGCCCAAGATGGCCCAAGAGGGCCCCAAGACGGGCCCAAGAGGGGGCCCAGAGGGGGACCACGAACCGCAAGCTCGAGCCTTCCGCCCCAAGAGGCCGCCAGGAGGCCCCCAGGAGGCCCCTCAAGAGGCCCCAGGAGACCCCAGACGTCCAAGGACGCCCCCAAGAGGCTCCAAGAAGCCTCCAACATGCGTCCCAAGAGGGCCCCTAGACGCAAGAATTGGCCCATTCCCTTCGTAAAACGTACATTTTTAACAAAGTCGCCTTTTGGGCTTTCCGACGTTACAGGACGGCCCAAGAGGCGCCCAAGACCGCCCCAAGACCGCCCAAGAAGTTTCCCAGAGGGCCCCAGGACAGCCCAAGAGGGCCCCAAGACGGCCCAAGAGGCGCCCAAGATGGCCCAAGAGGGCCCCAAGACGGGCCCAAGAGGGGGCCCAGAGGGGGACCACGAACCGCAAGCTCGAGCCTTCCGCCCCAAGAGGCCGCCAGGAGGCCCCTCGGAGGCCCCTCAAGAGGCCCCAGGAGACCCCAGACGTCCAAGGAGGCCCCCAAGAGGCCCCAAGAAGCCTCCAGCATGCGTCCCAAGAGGGCCCCTAGACGCAAAAGTTGGCCCACTCCCTTCGTAAAACGTACATTTTCAACAACGTTGTCTTTTGGGTTTTCCGACGTTACAGGACGGCCCAAGAGGCGCCCAAGACCACCCCAAGACGGCCCAAGAAGCTTCCAAGAGGGCCCCAGGACAGCCCAAGAGGGCCCCAAGACGGCCCAAGAGGCGCCCAAGATGGCCCAAGAGGGCCCCAAGACGGGCCCAAGAGGGCGCCCCGAGGGAACCCCACGTGGGCCCAAGGAGGCCCAAGAGGGACCCAAGAGAGCCCCAAGAGAGCCCCAACATCGGTCACGCGGAAGAGCTCTCGCGTGACCGATGTTGGGCCCCTCTGTGGGCTCCTCTTGGAGCTCCGAGAGGAGCCAAAGATGGCCCCACGAGGGCCCCGACGAGACCCCAAGAGGACCCAAGCAGGCCCAAGAGGGACCCAAGAGAGCCCCAGCATAGGTCACGCGGAAGAGCCCTCGCGTGACCGATGTTGAGCCCCTCTTTGGGCACCTCTTGGAGCTCCAAGAGGGGCCCAAGATGGCCCCACGAGGGCCCCGAGGGAGCCCCACGTGGGCCCAAGGAGGCCCAAGGAACCCCAAGATGGCCCCAACATCGGTCACGCGGAAGAGCTCTCGCGTGACCGATGTTGGGCCCCCTCTTTGGGCTCCTCTTGGTGCTCCGAGAGGAGCCCAAGATGGCCCCACGAGGGCCCCGTCGAGACCCCAAGAGGGCCCAAGGAGGCCCAATAGGGCCCCAAGAGGGCCCCAACATCGGTCACGCGAAAGAGCTCTCGCGTGACCGATGTTGGGCCCCTCTGTGGGCTCCTCTTGGAGCTCCGAAAGGAGCCCAAGGTGGCCCCACGAGGGCCCCGACGAGCCCCAAGAGAGCCCAAGAGGGCCCCAAGAGCGCCCCAACATCTCCTCTCCTTCCTCCTCCTCCCTCCTCTGCATCTTCCTCCTCCTCCTCCTTCTCCTCCTCCTCCTCCTCCTCCTCCTCCTCCTCCTCCTCCTTCTCCTCCCCAGGGGAATGAAAACCAGAGGATAGCTCACGGAGAGCCCAAGCACCCTCTTGTTGCATCCATCTTGGCTTCCAGATGGAGCCCAAGAAGGCCCCAAGGAGGCCCCTCAAGAGGCCCCCAGGAGACCCCAGACGTCCAAGGACGCCCCCAAGACGCTTCGCGTCACCAATTTCTTCTCGCAACGATTCCTGGGCCTGTGACTCGACAGAACCTAAGCGCGCGCGAAGCGCGCGCGTGGTTCTAGTATGTAGGTATGTATGTGTGCGGATGCGAGCGAGGGAGCAGCGGGGACATCGGCGGTCTGTGATGTTCTGAAGAAGCCCACCGCAGGGGCCTCATTTTTTCAAGCTTCCAACGAGCACGCCGCAGGCGCCGATTTTTCGTTAACGCAATGTTGGCGGGTCGCGGATTCGTCGCGGGCTGGTCGCGGGTGGATCGCGGGTGTGTCGCGGGGTGGGTAGCGATGTGGGTCGCGGGATGGTCGCGGGTGGGTCGCGGGATGGTCGCGGGTGGGTTGCGGGATGTGTCGCGATTGGGTCGCGGTTGGGTCGCGGGTGGGTCGCGGGTGGGTCGCGGGAGCAGTCGCGGTTGGGTCGTGATTGGGTCGCGGGTGGGGTAGCCCGTGGGTCGCGGGCCGGGTCGTGGGTGGGATGACGTCAACAAACAACACACAACGCAACAACAACAACAACCATCCGCACCGCGGAACCTCACTTCAGCCACGCGCCCAGGGACAGTAAATGACCGTTCGGACCCTCAATCTGATCAATATAGATACATTGTGCAATTGATGTGGTGCAATCTCAGTGATGCAGCCTTTTTAATTGCGATCGATTCGATTGTGATCGATTGGTTGTAATCGCTGGGATTGCGAACGATTGGATTGCAAGGGGGGGTGCAACGAGGCGGCGGCGACGGGACGGGGCGGCGACGCGACGGCGACAACATAGCCGCCAGACCCACGCACAGGCCCAGATGACGGGCCTCGACGAGGCAGCGACGGGTCGGCGACAGAGCGGCGACGGCAGCAACATCGCCTCCAGACCGACGCTGAGGCCCCGACGAGCGGTTGCGACGAGGCGGTGTCTCGTGTTCGTATTGCGTTTCGTCCTTTCCATTATTGATACCCCTCCTCATGCTCCTCCTCCTCCTCCTGCTCCTCCTCCTCCCTTCTCATCCTTCTCCACCTCCTCATCCTCCTCGGGCTCCTCCCTCCCCTCCTTCTCCCTCGTCGTTCCACCATCATCCTCGTCCTCCTCTCCATATTATCCTTTCTTGTCCTCCCTCCTGCTGCTCCTCCTATTCCTCTTCCTCTTTCTCTTTCTCCTCCTCTCCTCTTCATCCTCCTTGTCCTCCCTCCTAATCATCCCTCCTCCTCCTCCTGTTCCTTCTCCTTCTCCTCCTCCTCCTCCTCCTCCTCCTCCTCCTCCTCCTCCTCCTCCTCTCTCCTTGTCCTCGTCCTCGCCTCCTCTCTCCCCACCGGCTCCTCCTCGCGCTGCGAGCCCCGCGGAGGTATCTGAGCCAGGGTTACCAGATGAGCCTCAAGATAGACTGGGGCCGCGAGGCGTGGCGGCCACGCCCGCCCCCCCCCCGCCGTACGCTTCCCGCAGACCCTTGCGAAGGCGGGGTGGTTCCTCTCCCTCCTCCTCCTCCTCCGCTCCACTCCTCCTCCTCCTCCTCCTCCTCCTCCTCCTCCTCCTCCTCCTGCTCCTCCTCCCCCTGCTCCTGCTTCTGCTTCTGCTCTTGCCCCTCCTCCTGCTCCTCCCCTCCTCATGCCCGGCTTTCTCCTGCTCCTCCTCCTCCTGCTCCTGCCCCTCATCTTGCTCCTTCCCTCCCCCTCCTCCTCCTCCTCCTCCTCCTGCTCCTGCCCCTGCCCCTGCTCCTGCTCCTCCTCCTGCTCCTCCCCTCCTTCTCCTCTCCCTCATCCTCCTCCTCCTCCTCCAACTCCTCCTCTGGAGACTCTGGAGCTTCGGAGCGCGGGTCCCGCAACGCAAGACACGTACCTGCCAGAACATGCATTGCACTGGGAACGGGACCCCCACCTCCTTCTTGCTGGTAGGGTCCTTTCCCGAGCGGAGCATCTTCAATGCTCTCGCTCCTGCAGCATTGGGCCGAGTGCAACGCGAGGCCAAGTCCTTGACTTGGCGCCTCGCGTGGCGCCCGCACACAGAACAGAAATAATGGTCAGAATCGCCCAGCGTCCACATCCTGTGAGAGCCATGCACCTTGGCGAACACTCTGGGAATGCCTGGGCACAGATTCATCACGATAGTACTGCGTCTCTTCGCAGTCTTCCTGCACACTCGGCACCCCCAAGAGGTGTTCTGTACCATCTGCATCTATCCTAAGCTGCATTACAGGCTCTGCAGGGCCTAGTGCTGCTGGCTTAGGCTGTTTCGCGTTACCCTTCGGGGCTGGCGCTACATCGGGAAGACTAACCTCGCTGAGCATCTTGAGGGTCCCACCGAGGAGCCTAACAAGCTGCCTGCCTATGTTTTCAGCTGCTGCAGCTCTCTGCTCAACATGGGCCACAGACGGGTGCCCCGTAGCTCCTAAGCTAGCATATTTGTCCGCCGCTCTATGTCCCGAGAGCCACTCACCAGGAAACCCGTTATTCCGATACCAGGATCTTGACCGATGAGAGGGCATCCAGAGGACCTCTAGGTTGTCTTTTCCTATGCCATCCAGCTTCCAGAATATGTGCCTCCAGATCTCCCAGTACGGTTGAGTTGGAGAGCATTGCACCGCCGACCCCTTCTCGATGCCAATGATGAGATTTTTATGGTCCGTGACGATCGCCCCCTTAAAACCAGAGAAAGGGTGCTGCTCCTGCACACTTCCTTGGACAGGGCCATAAACGGCCGCCGTGACCTCCCCCGTTCCTGAAAGCCATTCAACCTCTGGATTTAACCCTGGCCCATCAATGAAGATGAGCTGCGTGAGTCGACCACTGGGGGGGGGTCCATTCATTTGACATTCCTCGGCCTGGAGCAGGAGGGGCATGTCATCTCTCTGGCTGTCCGTGACGCCAAAGGTGGTCAGGACAGTGTCAGGGTTCCCGCGGCCGATCTGAATCAGCTCATCGAAATCCTGCTCGCGCCTCCCGCTCGCGAGCCCGTCGCACTGGTACAAGCAAACACATCAGCAAGATGGCCAAGCATCCTGACGGACGCGTGGGCCGGTAGGCGAGAACACTCGTGATTCCTGCCTGCACTCGCATCGGAAAACTCGCAGATGCCAGCGCAATTTGGCCGCGTCGGCACCGCCGCGTGCTGGACCAAACGTCTCCGCAGGAGGAGAAGGAGGAGGAGGAGAAATAAGGAGGAAGTGGAGGGCGAGACACCAACAGCAAAATGCGAAGCGATCAAAGCATTATGTACACGTCCGTTGCCCACTGCTGTCTGGGACGGCCTCGTCGCATTCTGGCTGCCCAATTTCGTGGGAAACCGTTCGGGTTGCTTAGGACCTCCTGGACTAACGAGCCTCCGCTACTCATCGCAACTTTACTGTACATGGCGACCTGTCTGGAAGCCAGAACATCCGAAAGTGGCTGAACTGACGCTCTACTCAGGACCTCCTCGTTGCTGACTCTTGACACGTTCGAGCATGGGATGCCCAGGGTGCGCCTCAGGCTTCTGCAGTGGAAAGCGTCTAGCCGAGTTTTTTTTCCAGCACGGAGAAGCCACGCTGAGTCGAAGGAGTATAACAGCTTGCTCAGGACGCACGCCTCGTAAATCTTCAGCTTGCGCGCCAGGCCAATGGACGAATGAGACCACATCTTCCGTAGCTTGTTGAATATACCCATGATTTATTCAATGCGCCAGGATAGCTCCAACGACGCCTTATTGTCGCAAGTGATCAGCCCACCGATGTATACAGCCCCCTTACCGCACAAATTGGTCCGCCATCCGGTCTCGTCACAATCATGCCGGGTGTTTGGGGCGAGGACGGTGGCAACTGGGAGCGGATCGCCTGCATTTTCGCGATCGCCTTGCGCTTCGGGACAGAGTCTCTGTTAGTTGAGGGCGCCCTGGCGCCTCTCGACGCCCTGATGCGCAGAGCGTCGGGTCTTGTCGTGAACGGGCAGGCCACACGGAACCCTGACGAACCTGTGCGCCCACGGGTGTTGCTCTACCCTGAGCGCGGCCAGAAGGGTGGTAAAGTTGGAACGAGCGGCAAGGGCGGCAAGGGCGGCACTGCCAGCAAGGGCGGCCAAGGGAAGGGCAAGGCCAAGGGCGCCAGGGGCAAGAAGGGCGGCAATGGCGGCCCAGGCGGCAAGGGGGACGTGGTGCAGGCGCTGGGTGGGTCCAGGCCCGCCGGTCGCGTGCTCGCTCGCCCGGCTGCGGTCGCGCCTGCGGCCGACGCGGGGACTGCCGCGGGCGGGGAGAGCGCGGCTGCCCCGGCGGCGCCGGCCGCGGCTGCCGCGGCGGCTGCGCCGGCGGCGGCAGCGCCAGCGGGGGGCAATTCCCGCTGAACGCCCACGTGCCCCTGGAAAGCGCATGTGAATTCAAAGAATGCACGAGAGCAGTACTGGTCGGGTCCTAGACGCTCATGGGTACAATCCCGCGGGTCATTAGCATGGACGCAGTGGTCTACGACCCTGATGTGTAATATTTGTAATACAGACTTGTATAAGTTGTACTACCTGTCTGACCGAGCCGTCCATGGATACAGCTTCATCATTGGCGTAGACACCGGGGCTACGCATCCGACCTGCATGGCTTTCTGTACCTCGCCGAGGGAACGCTTGGGTGTGAAGCGTGGGAACCGAGACCACGTCCTCAAGGATGTCTTTCTCGTCGCCTTCGTTTCGTTGTCGGACGCGGCTAGTTTATGTTATTCATTCAAGTGTGTGTTGGTTTTATGTTTGTGGTCTGTGTCCCTGGTGTGTGCGTCCTCAGGTTTGGCCCCCTTCCCTCCCCCCCCTCCCCCCCCCTCATCCTCCATCGCCTTCTACTCAATCCTAGGAGGCTGCCGGGTTCATCGCGAAGGCCTGGGAGTCGCCCGCGGCTTTCGTCCCGGAGGCGGAGGCGGAGGCGGAGGCAGAACGTGCGAAAATTGCTGAACTGACGCTCTAGTCAGGACCTCCTCGTTGCTGACTCTTGACACGTTCGAGCATGGGATGCCCAGGATGCGCCTCAGGCTTCTGCAGCGGAAAGCGTCTAGCCGAGCTTTATCAGCACGGAGAAGCCGCGCTGAATCGAGGGGGTACATTAGCTTGCTCAGGACGCACGCCTCGTAAATCCTCAGCCTGCGCGCCAGGCCTATGGGCGAATGAGACCACATCTTCCGTAGCTTGTTGAATATACCCGTGGTTTATCCAATGCGCCGGGATAGCTCCAACGACGCCATACTGTCGCAAGGGATCAGCCCACCGATGTATACAGCCCCCCTCACCGCGCAAATAGGTATGCGCCTGTCGAAGTCTGCGTATGTATCGTCTTGTTCCCATTTTGTTCCAATTCGTACGTCTTGCCCTTTTTGGCGATGGCATCCAGCATGAATTGCAAGTTCCCGCGGTGCTGCGATGCCAACAGAGTGTCATCGGCATACAGAATCCCTTTGGTAACCAGGAAAGGCGGCTCGTCGCGAATATCGGCGCGCACGAACATGCCGTGCAGTGCAGAAGAACCCTTTGCGCGGATATGAACAGGTAGGTCGATGGCGGGCATTATTGGGCAATGCTTGCACATTGAAGTCTCTCAGCAGATGAACCCGCGTGATCATGTCTCAAGGAATACCGGCTCTCATAGATCGCCCACATCACGTTCGCCATGTTCGCCTTTGCAAAGCTGTGCGCATGACGTCTGGCTTGAATCTGTCGAATGCACTCGCCCAGTCCAGCGTCGAGAGCAGCGTCCAGCCCGAGTTGCTGTTGTGTGCGGCGTCGACCATGCGCCTCGCCATCATCAGAGCGTCTGCGGTGCCGCGCCCCGGTCGGAATCCGCGGTACGAGCCCCGCATCTTGGCCTCGGCCCCTCCAGCAATGAGTTCTTGATGCAGCATAGATGCCAGGGCCATGTATCCGACAGGCAATAATGATATAGGGCGGTAGTTTGCTGGTAGCGTGGCGCCGCCTTTCTTGAACAGCAGCGCGACTCTTGCACGCCGCCACGATTTTGGAATGTCTTTGCTTCCCCAGCAGCGTTGGCAAACACTGAGTATAATGCCGCAAGCAAGATCGCTGTCTTCCAGCGCCTTCCAGAAGTCAGACGGACGTCGTCAGGAACAGCCGCCTTCCCAACCTTCAGTTTGCCAAGCGCTCTCTGGAGTTCGTCCAACGTAAACGACGATATGGCGATTGGCAGCATAGGCTCGAGCAGCGCGTCCTTTGCTGGGCTCTTTCTGCCGAAACGTCGCCACTGCACACGCTCGAAATAGTCGGCCATCACACTTGCCCTGCCCGCCAAATCGCTCAGATTGCCGTCCGGCTTCCTGATGTAGGCATGCTTGACGGCCCCGGGTCTTCGGAGGTACCTGGTGGCTTCCCAACTTCCCCAGCGAGTGAATTCATCCAGCCACTTGTCACGATCTTCTCTGCCAGATTTCCTTGAGCTTGCGGAGCTTGCGTTCGCCATCGTGGTCGGCTGCCCTGCGGCAGGCGCCCCGGCGCGAAATCAATTCCAGCGTAGTTTGGTATGTCCACAGCCGCCTGGCCAGGGGGTCTCTGTCAGGAAGCGCGCCGGCAGCATGGGCGACAGCAACTCAAAGGTCCTCCGCAGCATCGTCCAATGAACATTCCTGGCCTGAAGACGTTTGCATGAACCTCTGGGTGAACCTAGCTCGAACGCCTGGGCGTCGAAACGCAGACTTGTCTATTGATCTCTTTTGAACCTGGGACTCCGTTTTGACTTCGCAATGGTCTCTGCGATCGTGATGAAGTGATGGATGTTGAGTGCGTTTGACTGCTCGTCTGGCAACTCGTGTTCGTGGCCAGTGCGCTTTGACGGCATAGTGCATGATCGATCTGGGCGAAACGTCCTGAAGAGATCGGCCCCGTAGGGTGCGTTCCAAGACCGCGATATGAAACTTGCATATCCAGAGGGTAGCCGAAGATGGTGTTTGCAACAAATTGTGCCTGTGCGAGATGGCGCCTGGGCCTGGTCGACACCGCCGGCACTCGCTGACCAAAGAGAATCTCTCACAGCAAAGTTTGTCCTGGGTCTAGAGGCCCCCCTGACATGTGCACGCTGACCAGGTCAGCCTGAACGAACTCTCCTCGACCTCGAAGTTGCCGGACATCAGTTTTGACAGGATCCAGAAACGCAGAACCTTGTCACCCGTAAAGCGCTGCTGCTAGCTCCTGCTGCCTCCTCACTCTTCGATGGATCACCTTATTAAGATCTAGTAAGCTCGCTGTTATGAGGTCTATTCTGAGGCGCCGTGGGCCCTGCCAGGAGGTACGCGAACTTGCCTTCCAGCCCAGCCGCCGGAGTGTCTGGACAACCGCTCCTGCTGGGCCTACCACTGATGACCAGCCTCGGGACTCCGTCTCCAGGGCTGCTACAAAAATGCGCAGCATGACATTGTCTGGCATCCAGCTCTGATGTCATGCTTGCAACCATGTCATCAGTGGGAGTGGATGCGCGATGTACGCTGGGTCCAAATCGGCGGGGTCCGCTAAAAGCAACTGCGCTGCACGGGAACGCCGAGGCCGCCCCGAGGTCCTTCAAATCCTTGCCCGTCATCCCCGTGACACTCACCCCGTGCGTAGCTGCTGCAATTCCCCCCTTCCTACGCGCTCTAGCTAGCCTATTATTATCATGACGCAGAATACGAAAACGATGCGCTCGACGCCTTGGTCCACTGACCCTGCCCCTGATAACCTTCTTCCCCTCTCGGGGCTGCAGGAGAACATCGTGGCCAAGGTTCTTCACGTCGGCGCAGACTGCGAACCGATACTTAGGCATGCGTGCCCCCAACTGCATTGCCAAGGCCTGGCTCGACGCCATGACCCGACCCTTCTTTTCGGAGGTAACCATCTGCAAAGCCTCTAGCTGCCTGCAAATGTCAGGAAAAGCCTCGGCCAACACTGCCCTGACCCATCGTGCTGATCCAACTGCTGCTACAGTGATATCATTTACCATTACATACAGGGTCAAAGACGGCCAACGCTGTTGCATGTACTGCAGGCAATTGTGCACCACCACACGCAGCATCGCCGTCGCAAACGAGCACCCCGATATGGCGGACCGCGCGAGGATGATGATACGACCTTCCTGACCTTGAGCCTCCTAGGGTCCCGTAGACCTTTAGTAACAGGCGGGCCCTCCTGAGGTCAAACTGGTGTCTCCTGCAAGCGTTCCAAAGAACATCAGGCGGGTGACGCTGGGGCCGCACCTACAGCCATGGCCGCTTTCGAGACGGCCGCCTGCTGCAGCATTGCACGCTCGCAACTCTTACCGCTTGCACTGTGCACGCATGACAGGTCGTGCGTCCTCTCCCACTCCGGGGCCTCATCCCTCCTCAAACGCCCCTAACGTCTGTTACACGTGGCGAACCCCCCATCGGACAGCGCCCACCTTTTGGTTTTTGGAGGAAAGCGATCAAGAAGAGATCGCACTGATCTGGGACCAAAATCTCCGTCTCTGTGATTGATAACTGGCCAAGCATCCCCAAGGCATCGTCACTCAAGAAGTGCAGGGCCTTCGGGTTCCACCCGTCGATGCCTACTGCGGTGCCCTTTTTGAACTACTTCAAAACAGAGCGGATCTGAGACGCCGTAGGGATTGGTGGTGGGGCCTCCAAATGTACTTGACAAACTTGGACTCGAAGTCCCTGAGGCTCTCCAGCATGCCAGATCTCCTTCCACTCCAAGACCAACTGCTGAACCGTGTCAACGGGGTCAGCTGGCCCCTCCGAGGGCCCTTGAGGATCTGGGGCCCAACCCTGAGGCTCCTTGGTCCAGTTAGAGAGGCCCCCCGCCACCAGAGTCCAGGTAGTGAATCACCCAAGTCCTCCACTCCTGCGTCCTCCTCTTCGTCATCTCCGCCTCCTCCACGTTTGCGAGGGCCCGAAAGGCCTCCAGCGCGGATGTGACGTCGTCCTGGTTGCTGTGGGGTCCTAGCCAGAGCCCAGCGCGGAACTGCTGCCAGCCTTCGTAATGCTTCAAAAGCGGATGCCTCCTGTGGATTATGTCTAGAAGGTCCCGAATTCCTCGGTCTTCCTACGAATGGTCCTTACGTAAGAGAACTCCTCCTCCTCCTCCTCCTCCTCCTCCTCGCTCCTCCTCCTCCTCCTCCTCCTCTCCTTCCTCTCCTCCTCCATCCTCCTCCCTCCTCCTCCTCTCCTCCTCCTCCTCCTCCTCCTCCTCTCTCCTCCTCCCTCTCCTCCTTCTCACTCCTCCTCCTCCTCCTTCCTCCCTCCTCCCTCCCCCCCTCCCCCCCCCCCCCCCCCCCCCCCCCCCCCCCCTCCTCCTCCCCCTGCTTTCTTCTCTTCCTCCCCCTCCCGCTCCTTCTCCAGTGCCATAAAGGAAAAAAAAAGGGGGGGTCCTGAGGGAAACGGGTCGTAGACACGACGGCTTCCTTAGAACCAGTTTTTTAATTCCGCGAGTGGTTTCGTAAACAGGTCCCCAAGGAGTGTCCCAGGAGCTTCCCCCCTCTGGGCTGGGGGTGCCCAGGCAGTTCTCCTCCCCCGCCACGCAGGTGGAACCCTGGGCACGGGGGTCGAGCGCCAGAACCGTAGTCCAGGCCACTATTATGTAAAAAGTGTCTGGGTGCACCCTCAGCCAGTCTCGCGAGGTGCATGTCCTCTCTGCGATTCGGGATGAGATGCCAGGCCCTGGAGAAGAGGGCCAGGCCTCCAGATATCCACGCCATGAACAAACATCACGGCGTCGGAGGTCTGGCGTGACAGAGCAAGGCCATCCAAGTAGTCGCCCCAACCCGAGGAGGGTGGATACAATATCACGGGTTGCGGGAGTGTTGTTGGTTCGTTGATTGTTTGACCCGTTCTTTGTTGCTCGTGTCCCTCGCTTCTTGGCCCCGTTATGATGGACTTTGGGGCCTTGTTCGGTCCTGCATATCCTCTCTGATTTTGCCCGTGCCGATGTGATGTCGATGTTGTGGCAAGCGGCCCGATGTTTGCACGGACGTTGTTGTGCATTCTGTCGCGGCCGATACGATTCTGTTTGGACCGATTATATGCCGAGCCCGACCGTCGCATATTCCGATGCGATCCGAGTTTCCCGATTCGATGCTAATTCGCCGATGTTGCCCCCACCCCCCGCGAGGGCGTCACCTTCAAGGACAGCTCGGACGACCCGTGCCCGAAAGGCGACCCGCAGGGCGGAGGGCGAGCGAGCGCGGAACTGCCACGCCCTCATCTTACCTGCTAGGAACACGACCGTTCCTCAGCAGGAGGAGGCGGAGGATCGCACGCGATTTCTAGCCACCAACCCCTGACTTCAGCACAGAAAGCCAGAAAGCCGGTCGCTTAGAGAAGGATGCGAAGGGGGCGGGCCCTATCAGAAGGCTCGTTAGGCCTCTGGTCTTGAAGCGGTTCTAGCCCTTTTCTCCGGAGGGAGACCTTCTCAGAAGGTCTGACGGCTTCTGAGAAGACCTGCCCCCTCTCACTTCCCCCCTCGGCGCGCCGCCAAATGCTGGCTGCCCGAGAGGAGGAGGAAGAGGAGGAGGAGGAGGAGGAGGAGGAGGAGGAGGAGGAGGAGGAGGAGGAAGGAGGAGAGGGAGGAGGAGGAGGAGGAGGAGGAGGACGAGGAGGACGAGGAGGCGAGGAGGGGAGAGGAGGAGGAGGAGGAGGAGGAGGGGGAGGGGGAGGGGAGGGGAGGGGGAGGGGGAGGGGAGGGGGAGGGGGTGGGGGGGGAGGGGAGGGGGGAGGGGGAGGGGGAGGGGAGGGGGGAGGGGGAGGGGCAGGGGAGGGAGGGGGGAGGGGCAGGGGGAGGGGGGGAGGGCAGGGGAGGGGGGGAGGGGAGGGGGAGGGGAGGGGGAGGGGGCGGGGGAGGGGGAGGGGGAGGGGGAGGGGAAGGGGAGGGGGAGTGGGGAGGGGAGGGGGAGGGGGACGGGGGAGGGGGAGGAGGGAGGAGGGGGAAAGGAGGAGGAGGAGGAGGGAGGAGGAGGAGGAGGAGGAGGAGGAGGAGGAGGAGGAGGAGGGTCGCAGGCTTTTTTTCGCCTTCATTTTTTGAGCGAGTTCCACCACAAGAAAGCGACGTTCAGAGAAGATGGGGAATTCGGGGCTACATTTCGAGGAGGTGAGTATGAAACGCCCACATCGAATATGGACCCCCCATTACCATATGTACGAGAGTTGGGCCCCAACTGCTTTAGAATTTGGGGATTGGGCTCTCCATGGTTTCTGTTAGAGGAGTAGGAGGATCAGGAGGAGGAGGAGGAATAACGACAAACTGCATAACACACAAACTTTTCACAGGCCTGCGCGGATTTCTTGTGTCGGCGCTGGGCCTCCCTGGCGTCGCATCCGGAGCCGCCCCTGGCCACCCCCTCGAAAAGGGGTCGTCGTCGTCGTCTCCGTCCTCGATCTCCCAGAACCCCCGAAGTCGTGCGTAGTTTCGCAGCGCGAGCTCCCCGCAGGTCTGGACCTGACCCCGCGACGGGCCTCTCATCACGAGGCCCTCTTTGACGGTCCGGGGCCCCCGGAGGCCAGCTGTCACAAGTTGCTCGTTGTGGTCTTTCGCGCGCCGTCGTCGGCACCGTTGCGGCACCAGGCCCCTCGGCCCCTCCCCAGAGCTTGGATGTTCGCCCCAGGCCGTTCCTGCTGGCGGTCACCGGAGCCCGAGAAGCCAGCCCCCAGCGACAAAGTGACGACAGAACGGGCCGCCTCGGTTTATGCTGAGGCGCCCGATGTCCGGGTCGTCGTCGTCGTCGTCGTCGGTTTCGCCGCCGTCGCCGCCGCGGCGCCTTGCCCGCCGACGCCCGAGGCGACATCATCCACAGGAAGTGGTGCCGGCTCAGACCAGGCCAGCTCCGGGACCAGCTCCTGGCCGTGCTGGACGCCGCCCCTTTCGTGTCGCGGGGCGGGCAGGGCCTCGTTCCGAGCTGCGGCTGCGGCCTGCTGCAGCTGCGGCAACTCGGGCTCGGGCCCGGGCCCCGGGCTTGGGCTTGGGCTCTGCCTCGGGGCGTCGCGCTCGGGCTCGGGCTCTTCCGATCCATCCGTTTTGAAGTCGGTTTCGGCTGGCCTGGTCTGAGTCTAATTCGATTTTCCGACGACCCAATACAGCCCGATTTGGGGGCGGCCAAGGGGAGGTGATGACTAGGGGTGTGTGGATCTCGCGACCAGGGCCAGAATATCGTTCCGGATGTCATGGCTCCCCCCCTTCATGTTTCCGTACCTCCTTTGGCCCCCCCCCGCTGGCCGCGCACGTGCCTCGGACCATGAAGTGCGAAACCCGTTTCGTGGACGTTCAACTCTTGGACGCCCCCGATGTTCCGACGATTCGATGCGGCCCGATGCTCGCATGGCGTCGGTCGGCATCCTGGCGCGGCCGATTCGGTTCCGTTCCGGCTGCGTGCCGATGCGGCCCGAGTCGATCCACGATGTTGATTGATGTTATGTGCCACATTTCCACCACTACTACCATAAGCATGACGGGGAGGAGGAGGAGGAGGAGGAGGAGGAGGAGGAGGAGGCGGACCTCCCAATCCTGCCTTCCCCCCCGTCCTACCTATGGCAGCGGTGGTGGAAAACTGGGGCGGGGGGCGGGGCGGGCAGGAAAGGCGACGGGCAGATCTCCGCAGTCCCCCCGGGGCCAGGGCAGCTTAGCGCCGCCAGCCTGCCCCCTCGAGGTGGGAATACACTCGAATGGATGTTGAGGATCCCAACGGAGAGAGCACATGCGGGCGGGTTTGAGCAGATGTTGCACGCGAAAAGTAGTCATGGGATCGTATGCGCGGGATGGCACATCGGCGTCCAGACCGCGAGGGCATGGACATGGGCATGTTCGTGGCTGGTCAGGCCAGGGGGGATCAGAGCGTATCGGCTGATCCCCGCCAGCGCTGACTCCCCGCTACCCTTCGCTAGGTTGCAATCCCTGGAAGTTGAATTCAACATTGGCGCTGGCATCTCCGTGGTCGGAAACAGGTCGAACTTGGCGTAATTCTTCGCTTGATTTGCCTGAAATCTTCAGGTAATATTTGGCCTAATCGCCCCTCAATTGTGTTTTCAGAGTCCTCAATCAAGTGTTCGATCATGGACCTCTTGTTGAACGCAGCCCTCCAGCTTCCACGCCGGAGACCGCTGAAACCCTCCGAGGACCGCCGGCAACCACCGACGACTGCCGAAGACCAATAGGAGATGTCCCGAAGACCGCCGAAGACGGCCCCGGGCCGGTGGGCCAACAAGGGGCCCCTGTCCGATTGCGTATCTCAGAGCGTGAATTACCTACCCCGCTTTCGCTTCCAGGCAAAACCAAGCCATACCACGCGCCTCCTCGTCAAGCGGCCTGACCAGTACAGGCTGCAATGTGGCATCGTTTGGTATCTCTTGGAAGCGAGGGTGGTCAAAAGCGAGGTAGGTTTGTTCTCCCCTAAGTATCTCCATTGGTCCCACGAAGGCCCACCAGGGACTTGCCACCCAGCCTGGGCCGCGACGCCTCCCCAGGACCGCGAGTACGTGCTCACCAGGCGCGCCCCGCGGGCGCGGCCCCGCCTGGCCCCGGCGACCTTCGGTCTGCAGGGGCAGGGCGAGGAAATGCGGCCAGCAGTAGCTCAGCGGGGGAGAGCTGCATTACCCGAACCAGGGTTGGCTGGGGCTGGGAGGGGGGGCCAGGGTTGGCCAGGGTCGGCCGGGAGGGTTGGTTGGAGGCTTGGCCGAAGACAAGCAGCTCTTCGATGCGTAGTTTTCCCATCACGCTACAGCCCAGATGCTGAAGCGGGGACCGCTTTGGGCTCGGGAGGGGCCTCGGTCTTCGGGCCGTTCCGTAGCTCTAGGTCGGTAGGCCGGTTCTTGGCCGAGGCTCGCCGTGGCCAGCAAAGCGCCTTCGGTCCGTGTTCGGCGTTCCCTACGGCAACACGATGGCTGCAGCAGTGTCTGGAGGGCCCTGCCCGCCGAGTGCCTCGCGCGGCCGCCGCAGCCCCCACGGTCGGGTCGGGCGGCTGGGGCGGGAGAAGTGGGATGGGGGGAATGTGCGGAATTTGCCACATGCAGCCTCGTCGCGGGGCCCTTTCCCCTGTACGTGTCAGGGGCAGCGACAAGGGGGGTTGGTCATAGGCATAGGTGGGGATGTATCGACCCCGGGACCGTCAGAAAACGACTCAGGACGGCAAACGATTGGTGGGCTCCAGGACCGTCAAAAAAACACATCAGGACGAAAAACCGGTCCCGACGCTGTGAAAGATCGCTGTGACTTCTGGGGGTCGACGCTGTGAAAGATCGCGACGTCGAGGGTGGGAGGTCAGGGGCAACGATAGGTGCGGATGGGCATAGGAGGGATGCATCGACCCCCAATCGCAATGGATCGCCGATAGGGTCTTGATAGCCCCAACCTGCCCAGCAGCGCGCGGACTCACGATCGGGGGCCTATCGCCGATCTATCGGCGATGTATCTCCGATTCCAGGTCGGTGTGTCCCCCCTTACGCAAGTCCCCCCTGACGTTGTCCGTTATCGGAAGTCTTGCAGCCTTTTGAGAAGTCTTCTAAACCTTCCCCGAAGACACAGAAAACTTTTCAAGTCCCCAAACTTTCTGAGAAGTCCCGCCGCCTTCTGCGAAGGCATTCTCCTTCTCACTTCCCTTCCATGGCTCCCCCCATTGTTTCCCTGGCACACTGGCGCCTCCGGCGCCGGAAGGCGCTGGGGAAGCCAGTTGCGTAAAGTGTTTCGCGAACCCGCCTCTGCTAACGCACCCCTCGATCGTCAGTATCGCTTAACCTACAGTCAACCCGCATCGTAAGGATGGGTCACCTTCCCAAGGGTACCCTTGCATCCTTGCATCCTGGGCCCATCCTTGGCCGCTGTCGTTGGCCGTGCCCCGCTCCATCCTTATCGTGCATCCTTATGATACGGGCCAGCTGTAATGCCAGCTTTTGATATAACAAATGGTCAGACCCCCCCCCTCCCAGGGCTGATGAATAGACCTGGCGGGGCGCGATATTTCTTTTCAATCACGCGCGCCAGGGGGGAGGAGGAGAGAGGAGGGGGAGGGAGGAGAAGGAGGAGAAGGAGGATGACGAGGAAGAGGAGGAGGAGAGGGAGGAGGAGGAGGAACAGAAGAGGCGACAGAGGGGGGTTGAGGACGAAACCTGTGCCCCAGATAATAAATCTTCCCCCCCTTAACCCCCTCTATCTCCCAACCATCCTGTGGTGTTGGGTCCTCGTTTTGAAGAGACGGTCCCCGCGTTTTCCTGCCTCCTCCCTCCTCCTCCCTCCTCCTCCCTCCTCCTTGCGTTTCACCCACCTAGTATAATGCTTCGCAGCCCCATAGGGAGCTCCGCCGAAGGCTCCAGTGGGACCGCCCGCATGCGTCATCCACCACCCAGCACAGCATTTCGTGGCCCCATCGAAGGCCCCAGTGGGAACGCCCGCATGCGTCATCCACCACCCAGTACAGCGCTTCGTGGCCCCATAGGCGGCTCCACCGAAGGCCCCAGTGGGACCGCCCGCATGCGTCATCCACCACCCAGTACAACGTTCCGTGACCCCATAGGGAGCTCCACCGAAGGCTCCACTGGGACCGCCCGCATGCGTCATCCACCACCCACTACAGCGTTCGGTGGCTCCATAGAGGGCTCCACCGAAGGCCCCAATGGGACCGCCCGCATGCGTCATCCACCACCCAGTACAGCGCTTCGTGGCCCCATAGGGGGCTCCACCGAAGGCCCCCGTGGGACTGCCCGCATGTGTCACCCACCACCCAGTACAGCGTTTCGTGTCCCCACAGGGACCTCCACCGAAAGCCTCATTGGGACCGCCCGCATGCGTCTCACCCAGTACAGCGCTTCGTGGTCCATAGGGAGCTCCACCGAAGGCCCCAGTGGGACCGCCCGCATGCGTCATCCACCAGTACAACGCTTCGTGGCCCCATAGGGAGCTCCACCGAAGGCTCCAGTGGGACCGCCCGCATGCGTCATCCACCACCCGGTACAGCGCTCCGTGACTCCATAGGGAGCTCCACCGAAAACCTCATTGAGACCGCCCGCATGCGCCATCCACCACCCAGTACAGCGTTTCGTGGCCCCAAAGGGAGCTCCACCCAAGGCTCCACTCGGACCGCCCGCATGCGTCATCCACCACCCAGTACAGCGCTTCGTGGCCCCATAGGGAGCCCCACCGAAGGCTCCACTGGGACCGCTCGCATGCGTCATCCACCAACCACTACAGCGTTCGGTGGCTCCATAGAGGGCTCCACCGAAGGCCCCAATGAGACCGCCCGCGTGCGTCATCCACCACCCAGTACAGCGTTTCGTGGCCCCATAGGGGGCTCCACCGAAGGCCCCCGTGGGACTGCCCGCGTGTGTCACCCACCACCCAGTACAGCGTTCCGTGCCCCCAACGGGACCTCCGCCTAAGGCTTCTGTTGCGGATTTCGCATGGCTGGCCAGTGGCGGAGTTCGCATGTCGGCGATTTTCGGTTTTCGGCTGGTTTTCGTTGTATTCGAGGTGTTGTGGCCGCTTTCGGGCTGCGCATCCTGGGCGGGAACCGGCCTGCTCGCTCTCTCTGCTCCGCGCAGCGGACGACCCGCGCGCGTCGCCAGGACCCTTTCGGGGCGACCAGCGCGCGTCGCGGGGACTCCGTGCGGCGCCGCGCCCGCAGCCTTGGACGTGGGCGTGCACGGGCAAAGAGGGAGGAACAAAAAGAACTGGAAGGAAGCGGGCGCGATCCTCGTGAGAGGCGCGCCGACACGTAGACTCACGCGCGCGCGGATTCATCCACAATCAGATTCAGTCGCTCTGAGTCTCTCGCACACAGACCTAGCGTCTTCGCTCGCGTTGTGTGCCCCGCCATGCATGTCGGCACGCCCCTCACACAGTTCGTGGCCCCACAGGGAACGCGGGCGGA